GGTAAGGAAAATCTCTGGAAAAGTGAAGCCAAATTTAAATTTGAGTTGGATACTGTCAAGGCAAGTGCTACCAAAGTCGTCAGCACACATATTAAACTGATCATAAATCATTCATGGTCTCATTTCATCCTAAGAGCACATTTCACGATTGGGTCATTGAAAACCCCTTCTGGGAATAAGGTTGTCGGGTCCGCAATCAAAGCGACAGGGTCGCTTTCTTTGCTCGGAATAGTAGAAGGAGCGTTAGAGATTTAGAACTTGCAACTATGGCCACATCGAACTAGGGTGAACAACGGTCGAGGAATTCCTCGACCATGGCTCTGTACTGTGTGAAAGTAGTGTTGAGAGTGAATGTCCGCGCGGAGAGCGTGAGTGAACAGGTGGAAATCCTCGACGAGCCGTTGCCGTTTCCTCGACCGGTTTTCACCCTGTCTCGAACGGCACCACGTCCACCGTTGCAATGTCTGTTGCTTCGCTCCCGCGTTACTCTCTCGGCTCCGCCTGTAGCTCTCGTCTCAGTGCCCAGTGTATCTGGCCTGTTTGCTTCCGAGATTTTTGCCGAATAGGTGGGGGGAACAGGGCTGTAGTTAGAGTTTTCCAGTGTTTCTGCTATACTGGAAGTTTAATTATTTATTCTCCAGCAGAGCAACAATATTTACATGTATTTATTAGTGCCGTACTTTGAAAGAGGTTTCTATTTAGGCCAATTCGTGGTGTAAGAAAGGAGTCGACATGCTCTCGTCTATTCTTCAAGATGTGACTCCGGCATCTGCTAGCACAAGTTTGGCGAAAATGGACGAATTTTTAGAAGAAGGATCACGTCTTCAGGTAACAAATGTAAATAACTGAATTATATGAACTTTGAGCCTTCAGAGCCAGTTCGTGCAAGAAATGCCTGTAGTTTGGTGTTTGCAGCGAGAACCAATCACAGACATTCCTTCCACGCTCTGTGCGCGCCTCAACCACACAATCCATAGCAACCATTGGAGTACTGTTCAATTTAATGCCATTGCTTTCAGTTGGATGCAATCAGCCAATCACCCTCAATGAACAGCCTTATACTCCTCACCACCACCGAGACATCTACCTTATTGGCTCAGGTAGATCCTTTCACTTGGCCTAATGTACCTAAATGAAGAAGGCTTTTCTAGATTTGAGGTATGCAATTTTTTCATCTTGTTTAACCCTTTTCTTCAATAAAATCCGAGTGAAGGGAGATTTCCTCTGCCCAGGGCTGGCGTAGATGAGCGAGGGTATGAAGATTCTTTCCATGGAAGAAAACTTTCCAAATTCCATTTCAAGCCCTGCAGCCACAGTAATACCATTGTCCCGAGTGAGAGCTTTGTCAGCCACCGGTGGCTGACATTGTCACGAATGGGTTAAACGAGATTTTTTTCTCTTTACCATCCTTTTCCTCTCTAGTAACAAAATTTAGAGGCCTCCTCCTTCGCAACTAGCGCTGCATTCCGGTGATCAGATTGCACTAGGAGGCCATACCCCACCAGTTTTTTGTGGCTTTAGGTTTTTCTCAACCCCAATATATATAGTTTCAAGGCAAAGGAAAATAATGATTATCCCAGAACTGTGTATAGTGGATCATTTGAACATTGCAAACGTAAAGGACTGCTACCTCCTAGCCTGGTTCACAATATAATAAATCAATTCGTCGTTATCATCGTTCACAATGATCCGAAAAAACACGGTTGTGAATCATGAGGTGGCTATTTCGCTAAGCAATTTGCGGGTCCTTCCAACGATGTGCTTATCCTGTACCCCGGGTTGACGGCACGCAAGAGTGCAGTTTGTCTGCCCATGGTGGATCCCGCGCAGCGACCAATTAGGGCCGCTCAAAACAAGTAATTCCCAAATCGACAATGGTACAAAATATGACTCCAACAAGCATGAAGTAACACTATGTATGATTCTGATATGCTGAATGTACCCGCCTCCGTGTTTGCAGAAGCTCCCGTGATGGGTTGTCGTCCATCGGGCGGTTATCAACAAATGGGGTCGTATTTAGAATTTTGGAAGGAGGGTTGAGTTCTGAAATTTGCATATCAGTCGAAGAGCTGGGGAGAGCAAATTTCTAGAAAAGTGGGTTTTACGAGATTTGAAAAAATATAGCGAAGCTTCTTTTTTTCATTTCAAGTAGGGCTTAACTTTTTTTAAATTCGTCCCCTTGAGTGTAGGGTAATTTGGTCCCCCAAGCACGAATATCGGACTCCTTCAGCAGGGAAATTTTTCTGCGCTAACGCGAAAATACATCAAGGCACCACAGTCGTTTGAAACTTATCCCTGGGGGCAGGGTCAACCCTATGTTGCTACAAGTAGCAACGGGGGGTCGTATTTTGATGAGTTTGTAGAGGGGGGTCGTACTTGCTTCGGTTGTAAGAAGTTGCATGTGATGAGTGGGGAGCGGCGCGGGAGAAAATTTGCCGTTTCAGCGCCCTTTTTTCATTTCAAATTTTTTAAAAAATTAACCTAACCCCCCCCAGAAAGTGGAGTAGTTGAAATAGGGTTGAAATACATGGCAATTGTAGTTTTTGCGGAATTTTTGCGGTTTTATGGTAAGTATATACCCCCCCCCCCCGCTCGACGGTAATTTTTTGGGGTAAAAATTGTTTTGAAAGAGGGGGTCGTATGAAACATTTCATGAGGGAGGGGGTCGTAAAAACTTTTTGAAAAGTAGCAACGATAGGACCGACCCTGCCTGGGGGAAGAGTTCTTCGATCTCTGAGCACCAATGTTCATTTACCAAGAAGACGCTCGACGGGGCCACGCCTGCTCCCTGTTTTGAAATGGTTCCTGTGCAGAACTAAAATAATTCAAAATTATTTTTGTAATCCATTTCAGCGTTCCAGAATAAGCCTTTACGACACGTTCTCAGCGTTTTTAATGTTCAAAAACGTTTTGTCAGTGGCTGAGGTGCCAAATTGTTCCTGGAAAATATTGTGATGTTTGTGCTTAGTACGAGTACTATATACTTAAGGAATTTCTTTAGCTATTATAAATCGAGGTTTCACTCCTTCAAAAGTGAGTCGATGAAATATTAAGTGGGGCAGTAATAATAGGGTTTTTAAGGGCGAACAATAACGTACTCTATTTTCGTTAGTGACAAATTATTGCAACTGTTTCCAAAATACATACAATTCTATTGAAACACTGGGTAAATATTCGCAATATTCTTCATATTTTTTACTTGTTCTTTG